TGTTAATGAGTCTTCCTCCAATCCTGATGTCCTATTCTTCTTCATAAAGTCCAGTTTCTCAAATGATTTTCTAAAAATACAAAATGAATAGGTATGGATGGGGTGCAATCTGTCTATCGGAGATGGCAGAGGTGTCACAAGATAGGCAAGGTTCAGATCTGTTGTTTACAGCATTACTATGAGTCACAGTCAACTTGATGGGACATAGCAATGAAAATTTTGACAAACATAAAACAACAAAACCCTCATAGTTACCATACAACTTGAATGAGCACACAGCATTCTATTACAGAGTAAGTGAAAACAAAAGTAACTGAAGAGAAACACTGCAGCTATACTGTTGTTGTAAAGGAAACCATAGCTGACTCTGTGGTGGGTCTTCAGAGGCAGTTAATTGTATTGGAGGAGATTGCCCATCCTTTCTACAGAACTATTGGTGGCCTTGAACTGCATGCCTTCGAGACTGCAGCACAGCTTCCTAATATTAGGCCACTAGAGCTCCCTAAAGCTATCTTAGCCAGCTTCATTCAACAATCTTTCATTTTCTTTATTAAAAAGAATATGCCAGACCATGTTCTGGATGCTGAGAATTGTAGATGAATTCTTTCCTCTCAAGGAGACTATATGAGACCAAGGGAGGAACGAATGTATAGAGTATGGAAGTGAAAGAAGAGACTATTTGGAAAGTATTTTGGGTAGTTCTTAAGAAGTATTTCATTATAATTAATGGACAGAGATGGTCTGAGAGGTAACAATACATTCTAGGCAGGGGAAATGATATAGATAAGGCATAAAACCAAGAAACTGAGACATAAATCATTCGTAAGTAGGGAGGATTCGCTCAAGAAGAATATGAGGCTGCATCAGGAAACCACAACAGAGGGTGTGGTACAGGCCAAGCTGGTTGCCAGTATCTACCTACCTCTGCCTAGTGAGCCAGTGTGACTAACTTCCGGTGGATGGGACATACCCCAAAATCAGGACTGCAATCAGTAAAAAGCTCAACTATTGGAAAAAGTCTTATGTTTCTGTTATCACATTAGGATGAGCATAAAATTGGTGCAGTGTTCATCCTTTCTTATTTCAGAAATCAGAGAAACATTAATGTTCTCAGTGTTTGGAACTGCTTGTTGTACAGCAAAGTGATGAGGTACTACAGAAATGAATACAGTTGGACTGAATGACCACCACATTGATACACCTGCACATCTGTTTGTAGCTCTGGGGGAAAAAAAACCAACACGAATACAACAACAACAACAAAAGTCTGTCAATTCCCCTCATGGCCTTTTCCAGAACAATCAAGCCACTGGATCTACTCAGACCATGTCTCCATTGCAAATAAATCAGACAATAAATGCAGTGTGGAAACAAAAGGACTCCCTGAAGCACAATTATCCACATCAGGTCAGCTATTTCGGATGTCACCAATCAGTTTCTAGTGTCACGACTGGTAAAATACATGACTTTTCCTTTACCTCCCCTTCTTTCATATGATTTCTACGTTTTCTGCAGTGAAATGAATAGTTCCAAATGTTCCTTCCTGTTCGTTATTAAAAAACACATTCAGTTGGGCTCTGAAATGGAAATAACAGAGCATGCCTCTCTAGATTACAGCCTAGTCAAATACGGAGGAAGGCCATAAAGAAATAGAAAAGCCGTAGAGGATAAAAGAAAGGATCTGAATTTCCCTGTCAATTAGACACATTTACCTGTCCTAGAGATAACTGTGATAAGTGTTGCTGTTTCTGAAAGTACACCGTGATCCTTAAAATCAAGATAGCCTTTCTCAGACTCAGACATGCCTGGCTTCAACCAGAAATAGAATTCCCCCCACCACCCAGAAATTACATGTTACATCTCAGCATTGAATTATGTCCAAACACTAGGAAGTTGTGATTTTTGTTTGTTTGAACTTTTAATTATGTGTGGCACTCACACTGAATTGCAATTAAGTAGTCTCTTCTGAGGTAGAAAACACAAGAGTGTTTCATAATTATGAGGATGCTCTTTCATCGTACAGCGCGGATGTGCCCAATGAATCACACATTCACACTTACAATGGGGCTACTGAAAGCAGCCTGTCGGGAATGAGGCACTTCACCGGCTCTTTCTCCACTTCCTGCTGCAAAACAGCTTCCAGAGAGATGGTTGGAGGCTTTACTTCCCGACTGCCCATGGTGAGCTGCTCTGCAGTGGTGGGCCTTTGGTTTCGCCATGTTGCTTAGAGAGCCACTGCATGTCTCTGCAAAATCCTCATCTTCTGAGACAGCCTCCTGATAGGACTCCAACCTCTTGGCTGAGGAATAAAAACCACCTTGGGTCATTACCTCAGAAGGTCCATTTGCAAGTTGAAAGCCAGGCAGTTATATAGCTGAATCACATCATGTCATCCCTCTTCAAACCTGGCATTCATTCCCCCTCCTCCCAGCTTCCTCTAGTTCATAGACTTACCTGATAAATCTCTGGGGAAAAAAGTTGAAGAAATCACACAGGAACTTCTTTTATTATTCCACCACCCCTTCATAAAACCCAGCAATCTAACTGCACCTTAGGAGAGAAGAGACGTCTTCTTTTCTAGTATGACAACAATCCTTTTGCTTCTTTCAAACATCAAACCTCTCCACCTGAAATCTTGATTCTACTCCACTGTCTTTTTCAAGTACTTTACTCTTAACAATTCTCAGATTTCCTTTCAATTAATTCTATTTCTCTGTTTCCATCTCCTCACCTGCACTGCTCTTTTCAAGGCTGCCAATGAGCTTTGTGTTGCCAAATCCAATTATCTCATCTCTGCCCTTATCTTTGCAACATGCAATATAGCTGGTTGACTATTCTTTGCTTCTAGAAGAGCTTCCTATGTTTCATATGTTCTTTTTATGTCTTTTTCCATATTTACGTAGTTTTCTTTGTGCTTCAACAGCTACTCCTTTTGTGTCTTTTAATTGTCCCAAACATTAGAGAGCATTAGAGGCTTCTTTCTTCCCCACAGATGGATCATTTGTGGTCTTATATAGTCCTCTCCACGTACATAATATCTTCAAATCTGTATCTTCAGCTCTGACGTCTACTGGAACCCAGGTTCTTATCTCACTTTCCACTTGATACCCCCAACTGCTTGTCTACAGTTCTCCACCAGCATTACGTTTACAAGGATCCGCTCTTCCTTCCTGTCTGTTATCATCTAACATTGTTAGAAAAGACTTGCCACTTCTAATCTCAGTGTTTGTCATAGAATTACCCCAGCATTACCTAGTCTCTCTTCCTTGCTTTATATCACTTATACGTACTGCTATTTAAACATTACATGTCTTACTTATTTTTTTTATCCTAATAGAACATAAACTCCAAAAGATATTTTTTTCTAATTTGCTCATGCAATGTGCCCAGAGGCACAAAAATGACTGATTAATTATTGTTGTTAAGTTCAGTATTCTCAAGAGTACTGAAGAGCAATGACGTCAGGCTGGAGACTAAGGTGCGCCTGATCTAGGCTATAGTCTTCGCAATTACGTGCTATGCATCAGAGAGTTGGACAGTGAATAGAGTTGAGAGAAAGAGAATTGATGCCTTTGAGCTGTGGTGCTGGAGAAGAGTGTTGAATATACCATGGATTGCTAGTAGAACAAACAGGTTTGTCCTGGAGAAGGTGAAGGTGGAATGCTCCTTGGAGTCAAGGATTCTGAAGCTTCGTCTGAGATATTTTGGGCATGTTGCAAGGAGGGACTGGTCCTTGGAGAGGGACATCATGTTTGGGAGAATGGAGGGGCGGCGAAGGAGAGAAAGACCTTCGATGCGATGTATCGATTCTGTGACTGGAGCGGTGGGAATAAGTGTGTTTGAGATGGCTAGGTTGGCACAGGATAGAAGAGCATTTAGAGCTCTTGTACATAGGGTCACTCTGAGTCGCAAATGACTCAATGGTACATAACAACAACAAACAACAAGTGCTGTTGAGTCTACTACAACTCATAATGACCTTATGAACAACAGATCTGAATCCTGCCCTGTATGTGCCATCTTTATCAATTCTTCTCCACTTTTTTTTATTTTTAAAGGATTTTGTTCTTTGCTATACAAATATATACAAACTCTGCTACACTGAATCCATAGCTGCAGTCATGTGTTAATCCATTTAGTTGAGGGTCTTTGTCTTCTTTACTCATCCTCTACTTTTTGCAAGGACTGGTTTCTCCTAACAACATGCCACAGTAGGTATATCCTTGCTTATCCTTGCTCTTGTGTGTTCAGCACTTGCCTGGCAGTTTGCTATTCTGGAGTCCTTGATGTTTGTTATGATGCTGGCGGCTATGTTTCAAGTGTTGCAAATACCAGCAGAGTCACCCTTGGTGGGCAGGTTTCAGGGGAGCTTCCAGATTAAGATAGCCTAGGAATGATGCCTTTGAGCTCTGGTATTGGAGAAAAGTCCTTACTACCCCATGGACTGCAAGCAAACCAGAGAGGTTTTGGAGAAACTGTAGCCAGAACGCTCCTTCGAAGCAAAGATGACAAAGCTTCATCTCACGTACTTTGGACATGTTTCTAGGAGACACTAGTCCTTGGGTAAAGACATCAAGCTTGGAAAGGTGGGCAAAAGAGAGGCAGACCCTTAACAAGATAGATTGACACAATGACTACAGCAATGGGTTCAAGTATGTTAGAGATGATGAAGATGGCACAAGATAGGACAGATCTGCTAATCATAAGGTTGCTGTGAGTTGTAGTCGACTCAATAGCATCTAACAATAATAGCAACAGGAAATGACTGATAGATGATAAATATTTGTTGGGGGGGAACAAACTAAAACCATCACCACAACAACAAAAAAAAGTTTCAAATTTAACATGCTGAAACTCTCTCCCAATTCTACACACTTGTTCTTTCTGGGGCCTTTCTTCTCATCTTTGCAGATGACAACTTTAGTTATCTATTCAACCCATCAGCAACACCTCTCCACTATGCTTCCAAAACAAGCCCTGAATCACCTCACTTCTATTAATCTCCATTACCTTAGTGCAAGCCACCACCATCTCTCAATTTGACCAGTGCCATAGCCTCATAACTGGTCTCCTTGCCCCTCTGCAATCCATTCCTCAAACAGTAGCTTAGAGTGATCTTCCTAAAAGATAAAGCAGATCAGATAACACCCTGAATAAAAGTTTCATGTCTCCTAGAGTACACAGTTCAAAAGTCTGAACTCCTCATCCTGGCTTACAGAATCTTGTCTTTCATCTTCAGGTCCACTCAAACTGAGCATTACTTGCCTTCTTCCTTTTCTTTAAAATTGCCAAGACTAGACTGAGGGTCTCTGTAACTGATCCCTCTGACTTAGAAGGCTCTGGCTCTTGAACATATTAAATTATGGCATTCACGTGTAGGTTCTAATGCCCCCAGCCATCATATCAGCCTCGCCTAACCATCCATAATAACCATCCATCCATTCTTTATCACATGAGCCTATTTCAGTACTCTGAAAAGTATTTAGCATGTTTTGATAATTTTCTTGATTTAAAACATTAATTTACTTAGAAGATTTTCCACTAGAAGTTCTTTGAAAAGCAGAATACCATCCGTCATAGTGATCGCTGTATGCAATATATGAACTCCACACGCGTATGTTGTGAAGCTAGGTGTTTGAATTCAGCCCAAGATTAGCTACCGAATTAAATAAGACTGATATTAAGATGGGATCCCTGGTGGTATAGCACGCTAAGTACTCAGCTGTTATATGAAACATGATCAAAATCTACCAGCGACTCCTTGGAATAATGTGACCATCTCCCTCTGCAAACATTTCTTGCAGTCAGGCACCACTGAGTTTATTCATTCTATAACAACTTTATATACAACTGAATATGAGATGACCTTGTCCTGGGCCCTCTTCACAACTGTTGCTGTGACTGAGCCATTGACTGTAGACACTGAGTCAGTTCATCTCATTGAGGGTCCTCTTTTATTGCTGACCCTCCATTTAACAAACATGATGTGTTTCTCCAGGGATTAGTCACTCCTGAAAACATGACCGAAGTCAATGAGACCAAGTCTTGAAATAATCACCTCTAAGAAGCATTCTGGCAGCGCTTCGTCCAAGACAGCTGTTCAATTTTCTGGCAGTCCGCAGTCTAGTCAATATTATTTGCCGATTAAAAAGAATCGATTCTCCTTCAGTCTTTCTTGTTCACTGCCCAGCTTTCATATGCAAGTGAGATGACTAAAAACAACATGGCTTGAGTTAGGTACACACATCAGTCTTCCAAGCTCAATCTTTGCTCTTTCACATTTTAAAGAAGTCTTTAAGATCTTTAAGATTTGCCCAATGCGATGGCTGCTTCCTTGGGCATTGGTTGTCGAACCCAGTAAAATGAAATCCTTAATAACTTCCACCTTTTCTCTCTTTATTTTCATACCACTTCTTAGTTCATTAATGAGGATTTCTGTTTCCTTCATGTTAAAGTGAAAACTTAAGTCTTACATCTTCATCAGTAAATGCAGGGAATCCTGTTCTAAAGGAAACCCTAGTTTGTTCCACAGGAACATTATGAGCTAAAGACAAATCAATGGCAGTAGGGTTTCTGTTGTCTTTTTTTTTTTTAGTAACCTACTTTACTAAATGAAAAAGGAAAACCTTGCATTTCTATATCTCTTAATAGGTTTCCTCTGAGTTTTTTTATTTTTCCTATTGTATTTTTAAAGACCAAGAAGAGAATAAGAGGCAATACTTTATTCTTGGGTTCTAACACTATCTCTTCTAATGACAACATGGCTGTCAGCTCATCATTTGTTCTGTGTCTCTGGTATCTCATTTTAAAATATCCTTTCCTGTTCTGTTTATTTCATTACATTTTCTGTCTAAATACATTTCTTACAGAAGACACGAGACTACCAAATTTCTCACTGTTTCTCTAAATGACTATTCAGCTTCAAAAACTGGCCCACCTACTGTCATCGGAGTATTCCTACCATCTCTATTCTCTTTAGTATCCTCACCTGGAATGGATGCCTTGTCTCTTCCTCTTCACCTTCAGAACCAGTGCTCAGAATTTAAGCTATACTCTTTCTAAGTACAATCAAGCCATTAGTATTAGGATGCTTTACTCCTTATAATCTCTATGGTCATTCTCCCTTGCTATTTCAATAAATCTATATTCTGTACTTTAAATAAGTAAATATGAAATAAGTCAAGAATAAGTGAAAAGACATATGAATGGCATTGTTGTTGCTGTTGCTGAATACTGTTAAGTTGTAAGCAACTCATTACTGACCCTCCAAAAAGTTTTCAAAGGCTGTAAATTGCACAG